ACCCATAAAATTAACCCTCACACATTTTAGAGAACATGATTTGAAAAGCAGAGTAGTAGTTACCAAAAACCCACTTAGGAAGGAATCAAAGGAAATGAACTATTTAATATTTACAGCCAAGGAAAAATACAAAATGCTCAACTCATTATGTGGAAGAATGCACAGGCCCTATAACAATTCAAGAAATGCAATATAAATAACATGATGGGTGCAAGCTCATTAAATTAATGAAAGTTAAACACACACACACCCCCAGTGCTAGTGGGTCTGTGTGGAACCCAGACCCCTCTTGGTGCAGCTCTGGCAGGGGACCTACCTTTCTAGCATCGCCTTCAGCCAACAGGACTAGAGCAGTGAAGCGCCTCTCACATCTCAGGGAGCCTGCTGCCTTCTGGAATGAACTTGAAAGGTTTCGAAGCCATCTCATTGCCTAAGCCCTTACTTCACAGCTGAGGAAACAGACCCGGAGAGAAGCAACTTGCCATCTCCCACCAGTAAGCAAAATGGGTTCAAGGCAGTGTGCTGGCTTCCTGACTGCCTGCTGTCCTCCTATTGCACCAGGTCACGGCCTCAGAGAGCTGTGCAAAAGAGCTCCATTTTTAAAATTAGAAATCACAACTTTGGTTGAACATTGGAATCCCATGAGATTTGAAAACTATTGATGACTGGCTCCCACTCTTAGAGGTTCTGATTTAATTGGTCTGCTCTGTGGCCTGGGATTTTTAAGCTCCTCAGGTGATTCCAATGTGTGATCAGGGCTGAGCCTTAGATGGTTGTGTGCTACATGTCCGCTATTCTGGTAGCAAATAATTCTTTTCTCTCTTCCCGATTTGAAGACCACTCTCTTTGATGGAGAAGAGCAAAGTAAAATTGGATTCTGTTAGCAGAATCTCAGCCTTATTGTAATTGTTTATTAACATTGCCTCATCTCTGCCAGGCGCGGTGGCTCACACTTGTAATCCTAGCATTTGAGAGGCTGAGGCGGGCAGATCACTTGAGCTCGGGGGTTCAAGACCAGCCTGGGCAACATGGCAAAACCCTGACTCCGCAAAAAATACAAAACTTAGCTTGGCGTGGTGGCAAATGCCTGTAATCCCAGTTACTCAGGAGGCTGAGGTGAGAGGATAGCTTGAGCTCAGGAGGTCAAGGCTGAGTGAGCTGAGCTTGTGCCACTGCATGGTAGCCTGGGCAACAGAGTGAGACCCTGTCTTCAAAAAGAAAAAAAAAAAAAAACCAAAATGAAATCTTGCTTCATCTTCTCCAAGTGGTATACTTCCTTGTACTGACTCTCCTAGCTCAGGATGCAACTGGAAAGAATTCTGCTTGTCTTTACCATGTCTCTTGAGTCTCATTTAGACTCTGGCCTCCCTTGACTCATTTTTATGGGTCCCTTCAATTCTGTGGAATACACCCTTGAGTTTGTGCTTCTCCTTCCATATTTTGTACCTGTCTTTGTAAAGTCAATTCTGCACACTGCTAAGGGTTTACAGAGATGTGTAACATAGAGGCCAGGCATGGTGGCTCACAACTATAATCCCAGCACTGTGTGAGTTTGAGGCAGGAGGATCCCTTGAACCTAGGATGTGGAGACCAGCTTGGGCAACATAGTGAGACCCCTTCACTACAATTTTTTTTTTTTTTTTTTAATTAGCTGGGCATGATGTCACACACCTGTGGTCCCAGCTACTTGGGAGGCTAAGGCAGGAGAATTGCTTTAACCTAGGAGGTTGAGGCTGCAGTGAGCTATAATTGCACCACTGTACTCCAGCCTTGGGCAACAGAGAGAGATCTTGTTTCAAAAGAAAAGAAAAAAAATAGAGTCTCTCATCTACTGATCCCACGGTGAAATGAGTGGGATGGTCAGAAGGCCTATCACCACAACAGCACAGTGTGCACATTCTGATGAAAGCATGTAAAGGAGAGAAGCACTGAATTCAGTGCGAAGGAGAAAAACTCAAGAATGCTTTCAGGAGGAGGTGGTATTTTCTCTGGGAATGCATGGAGCTGTCTGGATAACAAAGGGTGTGAAGACTAATGGGAAGGGCATTCCAGAGAGTTGGGACATCGGGAGCAAAGCATAGAGATGTAATTGACAACAGCAAGAAGTTGGGGGCAGAGTGGCAGCTGAGAGTGGAAAAGTGAGTAGGAGCCTTATTATGGGCCTTGTATGCCCAACTTCCACGGATTTTACTTTGAGGATGAAGGGTTTTAAGAGGGGAAATGACATAATTGTGATTTTCATTCCATGGTATTGGTGGGATGGTTGGATTAGAGAAGGATAAGACCAGAGTCAGGAAAGCCTGCTGCCTCCCATATGCTAAGTAATGACACCTAAGGCAGCAGGGTGGGGATGGAGGGGGCAAGACAGCAGGGGCAGGGTGGGGGACGTTGAGAAGGAGGTCAGCCAGGACTGGCCGCCTGACTGCTGTGGGCAAGGCCCCAGTTGGCCTTTCATGGCCTTTATGCACATCAGAAAAATGGACCCCTCTGAGCAGGTACATATCTAAGAAGTGGAGCTAGAACTGGATGTACCCTGGTGTTCTCAGTGGCTCTGGAGGAGGATTGAGAGATGGGTGGGGATTGGGGGGGTGTGCGGGGTGGGGGTGTGCCAAGGACAACATCTGGGTGTTTTGCACTACATACAAGGACTTCTTTTCTTGGCTGTTACAAATGCTGAGAAAGGAAGATCATTTTCATTAGCCGTTTTCTGCTTCTTTATAAAAATTAAGTTCTCTATCTTGTCAGATGAAATAGTCATCAAGGTGAAGTGTAACTTATCAGATGCCCGGCCATTAGCTGAATGAGCCTTCCAGCAGAGCTCCCTCATCACAAACCCCCATCCCTGCTCCAGCTCACCCCTGAGAAAGTTCTGACACCTCTTGGGAAAACATCCACGCACAGACTAAGAACTAGAACAAGCAGACATCAAGAAGTCTCATAGGTTGGAATTTGTCATTTTATCCAAAATAAAAATGGGTGTTCAACAAATGTACACCGTATGTTCAGTTCAAAAAGCTGTCTCGAATGTCATCCTGTATCATCTTAACTTGGTACATGCCTATCCTTTCTTCATAACCTCCTGGGGCTCATTCAATAAATATTTATCATGCACCTACTTTGTGCAAGGTCCATGTTAACTTGTATATGAGGAGACGATAAGCTCAGACCTTCCACATCTAAGCCAATTTCCTGGCAGTGGGAGGCAAATCTTCCAACGTGATGCTATGAGCAGTCTTGCTTCCAACCCTGGAGCCAGAACCCCTGGCTCTGACTTCTGGCTCCTTCACTTTTACGAGTTATTAAAAGTCTTTGTGTCTCAGTTTCCTGCATATAAAATGGGTATAATGATGAGGCCTACCTCCTAGGGTTGTTTTGAGGAATAACCTGAGTTAACACATGTAACAGGAGTTAGCATATAACTCGCACATAGGAAGTGCTCAAGCAGTGTCAGATTTTCCTATTACTTGTTTTGTGTAATACATCATTTCAATATGAATAATCATACCCTCAGATGGCGAAAAGATGCCAATCACACAAAAAATATTCCATGATATATTATAATTTGAGTTTAAAAGAAAGTTTCAAACTGTAATTCTCCAAGAATTATAAGAAATAAAGATGCAGAATGGCAGAGGTTACTTGTGAGTTTATATTCATCTTCTCCTTTATGATTAATCTATTTTCTAAATTTTTTTACACGGGCATGTAAACAGGAAAAAAGTTATTTAATAATATTAAACAATAATGAAAAAGACCATAATTATATCCTATTCATCCGTCTTCTCTTGGCTAGAATCCAGGCTTCATGAAGGCAAAGGCAGTGGCATCTCAGAATTTGACAAAACTCCTTTCGTCAGTGTCTGGTTCCATTTCAGGCCGGCCCAAAGCCAAAGTAAGAGCTGGGCCAAGCTTTTTTCCATTCCAACCTCCTCTTTCATTCCCTCCTGTCTCCCTTCTTAAGTGCCCATCTAAGGGGCTGATTCCTTCCTTCATTCAACTAATAGGTATTGAGGGTCCACCGGGGTCCAGCACCGTGCAAGCGACTGAATGCAAAGAGAACTCTGTCCCCGGTGTCCTTCGGCCTCATGCTGCCCATCAACTGTGATGGCCCATTGCCCGGAGTGCATGCCACTCCCCGGTCTTAACTCTGCCCACGCCTGCAGAGCGCACACCTGTCTCTGCTCCATTTTCTACAGATGACATAATCCCTGTGCATCTGTCCTGATGTGTCCCTGTGCATCAGTTGAGTCCTGGCAGAAAACAGCATTGCCTTCAAAAGGGCTTAACTCATGATAATTAAATAAAAGAACAATTCAAAGAGATGTGGGCAGAGTTCAGGGATCCAGTCAGGCGTGTTGATGCCCCCAAGGACTAGGAATAGCAGGAAGCCAGGACTACCCCTTGACTAGAAGGGGAAATATTATTATTGGAGTTTATTGAAGATACTGTGATTATCTGCAATCACAGAGTAACACAGACATTGCTAGTCCCTGGCATCAAAGCCAGGAGAGAATGAGGAATAAATACCCTGACCTCTTTCTTCCTCCTCCTCCTCTCTCATCTCCTGTCAGTGCCCATTTGGCTGAAATCATGAGCCAAAGAACGAGGATGCTCAAGTGATGCAGTTCACTTAGCAAATGTGTTACACTCCATAATGATGGTTTTATGGTGGATCAAAGTAAAATGTATACATCCTTAAGAGCCTTCTAAGAGAATGGCGTCCATTTCAGACCTGGGTAGACCAGTGGGGAAGATTATTTTAGGTCGGACCTCTTCAAATTAGACCTTCTGAGTAATGAATCCTCCAGTTTCTTCTGTAGGTACTTGGAAAATGCTCAAGAAGAGGCTAAATGAATGCATTGAAGCTTCGTAGTTTTTTCTCCTTCTTTCACATTTTATTCTGGTTAGATTTGAAGCAAATCTGGAGGGAGAGGGGTGCTTGGTTGATTTGAGTAACTAGACTGTCTCTACAATGCCTTTACTTTTTTTGTTCATAGTAGGCCTCAAAGACAGAGACGAGAAGTACATGAAGATGCCCACAAGCAAATCAGGTATGACCATAAGCACATGCACACTGTTTTGCAGATGTTTCTTCCCTGAACCTCAACCGCAGTGATTTTCAGCAGAGCCCCTCCCCGACCCCTCACCAAGGATCAGAAACTGGAGGATGGGGACCAGAGGAAGGGGAGCCTGAAAGGAGACGGCAGCAGGGGGTGGGGGGCTGGCTCCTGGATCAAGCTGGTGAGAGAGGATGTCCGTGGCAATGGGAGCTGGTGTTCCTTCTCTTGACAAACCCGGCTTCCTCTCTTATATCTGTAAGCAGCTCGCTGGTTCCAATTCTTTCCCTGGGCCACCTCCTTTGCTGCCAGCACGGTAATTCCTCACTTTAGAAGGACACTTCCTGGTGGGTTCAGAAATGGCAATGGCTCCTCCCATTTGTGTACCACTTTCTAGTTTGAGAAGTACTTCCAGGTTGGGTGTGGTGTCTCACACCTGTAATCCCAGCACTTTGGGAGGTCTAGGTGGGAGGATTGCCTGCAGGCCAGGGCTTTGAGGCTAGCCTGGCAGCATAGTGGGACCCCTGTCTCTACATAAAATTTTAAAATTAACTGGACTCAGTTGCATGTACCTGTAGTCCCAGCTACTTGGGAGGTTGAGATGGGAGGATCACTTGAGTCCAGGATCACTCGAGCCCTGGAGTTTGAGGCTGAAGTGAGCTCATGATAGGTCACTGCACTCCAGCTTGGGTGACAGAGCAAGACCCTGTCTCTAAAAATAAATAAGCAAATAAAAATATAAAATAAAGAGGGAATAACTAGGAATATATATCTGTATATACTTGTATACAAGAAACTCTGCTCAGATAGACAAGAAACCAGTAAGAGAAACACCTGGCCAGGTGCGGTGGTTCATGCCTATAATTCCAGCACTTTGGGAGACTGAGGTGGGTGGATCACTTGAGGCCAGGAATTCAAGACTAACCTGTCCAACATGGCAAATCCCCTGTCTCTACTAAAAATATAAAACTTAGCTGCGCATGGTGGCAAGCACCTGTAATCCCAACCACTTGGGAAACTGAGGCATGAGAATCACTTGAACCTGGGAGGTGGAGGTTGCAGTGAGCTGAGATCATACCACTGCACTCCAGCCTAAGTGACACGGGGACTCTGTCTCAAAAAAAAAAAAAAAAAAAAGTGAAACACTTGTGGATGAGGGCTGGGGAGGGTGGAGGCAGAAATGGGAGGCTGAGTCTTCACTACATTTCTTCTTCTAAAAAATTTTCAAATGCAAAAAGTATGTTACCAATAGAGAAAAAGAGAAAATAAATACAAATGACCCCAGGTGCAGTTCAGAAGCAGCAGCAGGAGTAGCCGCCTTCCATGCAGACGGGATGGTCAGCATTTCCCTCCAGGGCAAGGTCCTGCTCCCTCCACAGTGGGCCAACAGAGATCAGGGGACCAGGCTCGGACCATACTCACTTGCTCTCCCCTCCAGCTCAAAACCCCTCAAAAGGCTGAGACACTTTAAGGGAATTTGGGCTATTAATAACAAGACTAGAACCAGCGATTTTCAGTGCTGGTTACACATTAAAATCATCTGGGAAACTTTAAAAAGACCAATTTTCAGGCCCTATTTCCAGACAGTCCAAATCAGCATCTCTGAGGTGGGGCCTGGGCATCAGTATTTTTAAAGCTCCACAGTCACGGTCAAAGTCAATGTCTTGGACCTTCTGGGTCAGTTCATTTATCCAGAAAGATGGAGAAAGGAAGAGGGGATGTCCAATAGCTTAAAAGAAGAAATAGCATACCCCATCACACCTATCAAGATCAAGTCAGAATGCGAGTTACTTTTTATTTGTCTTGGTTGGAATATATGATCTCACTGGTTTCTTCCCCCTTGGCAGCCCAATTCTGAGACGAAGCCCTGACATCACCAAATCGCCTCTGACAAAGTCGGAACAGCTTCTGAGGATAGATGACCATGATTTTAGCATGAGGCCTGGCTTCGGAGGTATGGGATGTGTGCTCTCGGGGTGCGCTCTTTCTTCTGGTCCTCAGTCTGTGGGCAGGAAATCAGCCAAGGTACAGCACAGCTTTGCTCTCCCCTGACCCAGTCTGCCTTGGTTGTGCTTGGTGGACAAGACATCGAGCCCACAGTACGTTCTGAGCATCTGCCTTGCCCCGCCCTGGGTTCTGCTGAACAGAGTCTGAGGAGGCATCTGCTGCTGGGTGGCTGCTGCCCCTCTAGGATGGCTCACAACGAGGGAGGCCAGCAGCTGGCTGTAGGAAGGGCAGGGGAACACAGGGCAGCTGCAGCCCAATACAGCCTCCTAAAAATACCTGGAAATAACAACCTTGGACTAAATTTGTTGTCATCTGGGAGCTGGCAGATAGAGTTCAGGGTACATATTTTAGGGCAGAATGTGATCTGCTCATTTTAATTAAATGAAAATAGCTTGAGAGAATAATGATTTAGTGCAGAAGAATAGCAAAGCCCTATGAAGCTTAGCCTGCAGCTGCTGGGTTTCAGCCTTCTTAATGTCAAGAAGTTTTCATCCTTATGGGTTTATTTTCCTGGAAAAAAAATATTTTAGAAATCTTTCTCATCCGGGCATGGTGGAACACACGTGAAATCCTAACACTTTGGGATTTCATCTGCCCTGGCTGAGGCGGGCAGATTGCCTGAACTCAGGAGTTCGAGACCAGCCTGGGCAACATGGTAAAACCATGTCTCTACTAAAAATACAGAGCTGTGGTGGCGTGCACCTGTAGTCTCAGCTATTCAAGAGGCTGAGGCAGGAGAATCGCTTGACCCCAGGAGGCGGAGGTTGCAGTGAACTGAGATCACACCACTGCACTCCAGCCTGGGCAACAGAATGAGACTCTGTCTCCAAAAAAAAAAAGAAATAATTATCTTGCCATTTATTTCTTCCGGTCACTTTTATCCAAAGAATAAATAGGCTGTAGAAGAGAGTCTATCCAGTCCATAATCCACCATTGTTGAATCCAAACCCACCTTTTTAATACTCTATAATGATTCAGTGTGCTCCATGCCTGCCCTTCATCCTGAGAGCAGGGAAGAAAGGGGGCAGGAATTGATTCCCTTCATTATCTTCCTTACTCTTTATCAATATTGAGTCCGTAAGGCCCAGAAATAACAAAAAATCTAATGTTTTAAGGCCACTTCATCACGTTGCAAAGATGCAGATCTGTGGATTTGGCTAATGACCTGAATATGACTTTGGTTCTGAGTGCCTATTACCAAACAATGCCTTTCTCATGGCCAGACAGGAGACACTGGCTTCCAGAGTGAAAGAGGGTGCAAAACTAGAAGGTAAATATAGGGAATAATGTGGTGACCTCATGCTAAGAAGTCAGTTACTCTTAGATCAGACCCAGCCTTTGACCTAGGTCTTCATCATACCTTCAGATGAGCATATATAACCAAGAAAGGATGCTTTCAAACTTTTGTTGGAATATTTCAGAAAGCCAGCCTATGGTTCCATGCTTTTGTCTCTGGTTTGACTTCAGGTTGGCATGACCAAACCCCCAAATCTGACATGACGTTGAGGTTCCAGGGGAAATGCTTCTTTTGCCTATTTCCTCCATAGTAAAATTTCTTTTTTTTTTTTTTTTTTGAGACGGAGTCTCGCTCTGTCACCCAGGCTGGAGTGCAGTGGCCGGATCTCAGCTCACTGCAAGCTCCGCCTCCCGGGTTCACGCCATTCTCCGGCCTCAGCCTCCCAAGTAGCTGGGACTACAGGCGCCCGCCACCTCGCCCGGCTAGTTTTTTTTGTATTTAATAGAGACGGGGTTTCACCGTGTTTGCCAGGATGGTCTCGATCTCCTGACCTCGTGATCCGCCCGTCTCGGCCTCCCAAAGTGCTGGGATTACAGGCTTGAGCCACCGCGCCCGGCCCATAGTAAAATTTCAAGTAAAAACAGTGAATGCTCTTATCATGCTCTGTCCCCAGGCCCTGCCATTCCTGTTGGTGTGGATGTGCAGGTGGAGAGTTTGGATAGCATCTCAGAGGTTGACATGGTAAGTGCTTCTCTGACCAGAGCCGTGGCAGGGGGATTCACAAAGCCTGTCCAGGGCCAGAAGCTCCACGCACCTGAATTCACTTAGTCTCACAACTGACCTGGGCGGTGGGAACCCCCACACTCCTTTTACAGATGGCTCAAGAAGGTTTGCCCAAAGCCACCCAATTGGTATGAAACAGAGCCAAATAACAAGCTTGGCTTTTCCCACTCCAGTGGTCGGGCTGTTGCCGCCACTGGGATGCATTTTCTGGACAAATGTTCTCAAATGTGAGCAGCAGGGCCCAAGTTTGCAGCTGCCAGTTAAACACATCTTATTCCTGTGGATTCTGTACCTGGCTGTGGAAATGCAAAATAAGCAAAAGAGTGTCCTTTTCTCCCCACTTTTTGGTGGGTTCAGATAAAAAGTGCAACATTCTCTAACTCCTTGACTTACAGGACGTTTTAGGGACCTAGCTTAGTTTGGGTCCCCCAAGAAGCAGACCTGAGACAAGCAGTCACAAGCATAAGTATAAGCAGTTTATTTGGGAGGTGATCCTGGGAAACACCAGAACAAAGTGGGGAAGAGAGGAGTAAAAGGAAGCAAAGACGGCTGTGCTATCAAACCAGTTACTTTGGAACTGGTGTAGAACTCAGTTATAGAACCACAGAACTCAGTGCCACTGGAGTACTCTGGGAGTCAGCGAAGAACACACTTCAGGGTTATCCCGACTCAGGGGTGCAGGAGCTGGGTTATTTATCCACCGCCTTCTCTCTGGTTGAGTGCTGTTTGCAGACATTAACTTTCTGGCACTTGTGGCTTGAGTCACACATGGTGGCAGTAGCAGCCCCTCAAGTGTAGAGCGAATGCCAGTGGCTTGAGGCAGGGCCAGGCACGCTCACACTGTCTGCTCCAGGCTTCTCACTGAGTTCCCCGCCATTGCAGCATTCTTTTCCTCCTACTGCAGCAAACTCCGGGGACTAGAAGCAAGACCTCCCTTGGCTCGGTTTCATTCCCCAGCTAAGTGAGGCTCCACAGGGGCTACAGAATCCACACTTCAGTGGGTTTGTGTGTGTCTGGGGTTCCCTCTCTGCCCCTCTGCCCCAGGACTTTACGATGACACTCTACCTGAGGCACTACTGGAAGGACGAGAGGCTGTCTTTTCCAAGCACCAACAACCTCAGCATGACATTTGATGGCAGGCTGGTCAAGAAGATCTGGGTCCCTGACATGTTTTTCGTGCACTCCAAACGCTCCTTCATCCATGACACCACCACAGACAACGTCATGTTGCGGGTCCAGCCCGACGGGAAAGTGCTCTACAGTCTCAGGTAGGAAGAAAAGCAGATTGTTCATATTAACCAAGAAAAGCATTGGTTTCACAACAGCAGTTTGGGTTTTTGGCTCTGAATGTCTACTTTCTAACTTTTCAGTAGCTGCCAGCTTCTCAACATCAAGGAAAACTAACTTTATATGTGAGTAGAAATTTTAAAGAATTAGTCTTGAAAATACATTTGGGGCAATTTCTCAAGCTGATACTATTCTATATGTTATCTTTCAATAATAAACAAGTTTTTTTCTCTAGTAGGAGTCAGAGAAATAGATAGTGTGTTCTCAAGGACTTACCTCCTACAATCTCTCTGATTCCCGTTTTTCAGGAACATTTTAGAACTTTTGTTTAAAAAAAGTTCTTTTGCTTCATCTGGCCACCACAGGCATGTTTTCTGTCCTTTCTCTCCACAGTGTCCTACTTGAGAAACTATGGGGACCCCCGGCTACTTTATGACTTGACGTGCCATTCCGAACATCACGTTTTAAATATAATAAATAAAATCTTCTTACCAGTTCAGACACTTTAAAAACATTTAATTGCTCATTAAACGCTGGCCTGAGAAAGCTTTCCTTAAACCCAGCTCCACAGTGTGGTTTTCAGGCTGCACAGGAGCTTTAGAAACTCATGGTACTCTAGGCATGTGGAGATGAGCAGCAGGCCTTCACAGAGAAGGGATGTGGTTACTTGCTGTGGTCTGCTCCTATTTTGCTGTGTGGACGGTGCATTCCAGTTTCACGGACTTTGCTTTGGCCTCCATGTTGATGAATGGTAAAGATGAATCCACACATCAGTGTATAAGTAGAAGGTTCATGGATAGTTGCACAGTAGACCTATAGATCTATAGAGTCAGAGATTGCAATGTTGAAGCTGACTTTCTGTCCCCATTCCCCAAAGGAATATTTATGATGATCCCTCCATACTCATTCTGGCCTGGAACCTAAGTAATTAGGTACCTGACATGGAGTGGGGATTATGGGGTTTTCATCTTTGAGGTTTAAAATGCTTCCTCCCATAAGAAGTACTCAGGCGGATGCAGGATGTGCAACCCCTTCCCCAAGCCATGTTGAGCTGGTTCTCCCTGAAGTCCTCATTTCTGAAGCAGGTTTTCTTTCTTTTTCATTCTTTTCTTCTTTTATTTACAGAGTTTTGCTCTGTTGCCCAGGCTGGAGTGCGGTGGCATGATCATGGCTTACTGCAGCCTCAACCTCTCAGGCCCAAGCAATAATCTGACCTCAGTCTCCCAAGTGTCTGGGACCAAAGGCATGTGCCACTATGCCCAGATAATTTTTTAAAAAGTTATATTTGTAAAGACAGAATGTCCCTATATTGGCTCAGGCTAGTCTTGAACTCGTGAGCTCAAGCTGTCCTCCCACATTGGCCTCCCAAAGTGCTGGGATTACAGGTGAGAGCCACCACACCTGGCACACTGAGACAGGTTTTCAAGGCATCTTAAGGTTCAGAAACTACCAACACAACAACACAACTCAAAGGCATCACCAGGGCTACAGAGTACTAGACCATAACATATGTGACCATTGGTATGCCAGTAAATGTTTAACAATTGGTTACCTGGGGGGAAAGTATGCATATCTATGTGTATATAAGTTTATTATAAACATCACTGACATAAAGGATGTATAATGCTCTTTATTATAAATTCTATGTATTTATAACTTAAGCATGATTTCCTAGTTCTTGGAAAAACCACTGTAAGTTTTTTATAATTCTATCATCAACAAATGAATATAGATCTGATGAATGTTGGTTGATATTTTCTTTTCCATTAATAAGACAAAAGTGAAACAGTGAAGAACTATATAGGAACTTTACTCATTCATCAAAGAAAAAGCAAGTTCTTTGCTGAATTGGATGATAGCTTTCAAATATTGAAATATGTCCTCAATATTTTGTACTACTCGCAATGTAATGGTAATAGGCATAACACCCTTTTAGGCTTAATCTGCCTTAAGTCTAGACAATCAGCAAAACAATAAATCAAGCCCTGATTTATAGTGTTTGCTGATTTCTGTAGTGTAAATACTCCCATCCTGGCTGATTTCAGGCTCCCAACCTGATGTCACTAAATGCAGAATTAGGAAGAAATTCATGGCAGCACACCATTATGCAGTATTTCTACCATACAGATGCAATAAGTGTAAATGGCTTCAAGAATATAGATAATAATAAAATGTAGTTAAATAATTAGGAAGTGATGAGTATTTTTTACTGTTGTTTTTACAAGATAAGTCTGGTAATAGTGAATTCTCTCAGCTTTTGTTTGTCTGGAAAAAGACTATCTCTCCTTTACATGCAAAGGATAATTTTGCTGGATATAATATTCTTGGATGACAGTGTTTTTTCTTTGAGCACTTTGAAAATGTTCTTCTACTTCCTCCTGGTCGGCATAATTTCCACTGGGAAGTCTGTTGTCAGACAAATGGGAGCTTCTTTTTTTTTTTTTTTTGGAGATGGAGTCTCACTCTGTCCCCTGGCTGGAGTGCAGTGGTGCAATCTCGTTTCACTGCAAACCTCCACCTCTTCAGGTTCAAGTTATTCTCCTGCCTCAGCCTGTCAGTAGGCTAGGACTACAGGTGCATACCACCACCCCTAGCTAATTTTTTTGTATTTTAGTAGAGACGAAGTTTTAAGACCAGGCTGGTCTTAAACTCATGAGCTCAGGCAACCTGCCCTCTATCAGCCTCCAAAGTGCTAGGATTACAAGCATGAGCCACTGTGCCGGCCCAAATTGGAGCTTTTTTTTTTTTTTTTTTTTGTTGAGACGGAGTCTGCTCTGTCCCCCAGGCGTGGAGTGCTGTGGCTGGGTCTCAGCTCACTGCAAGCTTCTGCCTCCCAGGTTTATGCCGTTCTTTATGCCTCAGCCTCCCAGAAGCTGGGATAACAGGCGCCCGCCACCTCGCCCGGGCTAGTTTTTTGTGTTTTTTTAGGTAGAGACAGGGTTTCACTGTGTTCGCCAGGATGGTCTTGATCTCCTGACCTCGTGATCTTCCCATCTCGGCCTCCCAAAGTGCTGGGATTACAGGCTTGAGCCACCGCGCCCGGCCTAAATTGGAGTTTTTTAATGTGTTATTTGCCTGATTTATCTTGCTGCTTTTAGGATCTTCTCTTTGTTCTTGACCTTTCAGAGGGATTACTATATGCCTGGAGGTAGTCTTATTTGCATTGATTCTGTTTGGCGTCCTCAGACTTTCCTATACCTGTATATTTATCTCTTTCTTGAGTTTTGGAAAGTTTCCTGTTATTATTCCTTTGAATAAGCTTTCCACCCCTTGCTCTTGCTCAGCTCTGTCTTGAACACCAACAATTCTTAGATTTGGTCCTTTGAGGTAATTTTCCATATCTTATAGGCAGCCTTTGTTATTTTTTATTCTTTCTTCATTTTTTCTCCTCTGACTATATTTTCAAATAGCCAGTCTTCTAGCTCACAGATTCTTTCCTCTACTTGGTTCGTTCTGCTGTTGAGAGCCTCTAAAGAGTTCGTCAGTTCAGCAAAAGTATTTCACAGTTCCCGCATTTCTGTTCAATTTTTGTTGTTGTTATTTCAATCTCTTTGTTAAATTTCTCTGATAAATTTCTGAATTGCTTTTTTATGTTATTTTGGATATCACTGCATTTCCTTAAAATTGCTATTTTGGATTCTTGGTCAGAGAGATTACAAATCATGGTCTTGTTAGGATCCCCTTTGGGGGAGGTCCTAATTCCCTGTTTGCTGTTGTTTCTTGTTGGTATACATCTACGTCTTTGCATTGAAGGATTAGTTATTTATTCCAGTTTTCTCTGTCCAGTTAGTTTTGTTTTTTATTGACTATATTTGTTTAGTGAATCTGTTACTAGGTTGCTACCTCCTTTTCAGCTCTAGGTGGCACCTTAAGCCCAGGTTCGCCTCACTCCAGTAACCTGTCTGTGCACTACCAGTCCCAAATCGGGGAGGTCCCGAGGGGATTATCCCAGCAGTGTGGGAAGGCTGGCTAGGAGTTCGTGCCCAGGGGACCTACAGAATGTTCTTCCTACAGTACTACTGAACAACCACTCTGATTTGGCAACTCCTTTGGTCAGGTTACAGAGCATAATTTCCTGGATGAGGATGGTAGTCCTGCCTCCCCTTTGTCTCTGCCTGTTCTCAGGGCTATTTCACCCTTCAGGCAATCATGATGCTTCCCGTTGATTAAGCTAAGGAGAAATCTCCTGCCAGGGAACCCAAGAAGGTAGGGAATCTGACTGATCACCTCAATTTCACTTTTTCCAGTGTACAAGTCATGAGTTGGGGGGAGACTTTCCATGCATTTGGTGGCAGGTAGAATGGGAGAGAGGAGCATCAGGGATGTGTAAGTCCAGTTCTCCTACTGTCATCTCAGTTTTTCTACTTCTCTGTGGCCCAGGGAACTGTCTCATCCTCATCCTTGAGCTCTGGGTTGTTGCTGGTGAAAATCTTAGCGTGATATATTTGTTTTTGGTTTTCGGTGGTGGGGAGTGAAGCAGCTTGCCTCTATGCCACGATTTTGGAACTGGAAGCTATTATTTATGTTTTTTAATGTGACATTTAATTTTAATGTTTAATAGTGACTGTGTTTAACAACTGGCTCACAAGCTTCCTAAAAATCTAGCAATCAGCTCCCAAAAGCCTATAGAAGTCTAGTCCAGTGCACCACTGGATGTGAGTGCAAGAGGGGAGTAGAACATCTTTTGTATGTTCAGAATAAAAAATCCTCAGTGAGCCTCACCCACCAGGAGAACACCTCCTTTCCCTCTCTGTGCCTGAAAACAGATGAGTTAATTTCTCATTGCAAATAGAGTTATGAGTTTGTTCAATTTAAATGAAAAAAAAAAGAGATCTGAGTTACTGAAGACCACCACTTTGGAATTTATTTTAAGGAAAACATGTCAGCTCTGTCAGCCACTGGCCAGCTCCTAAAATACATCTAATTAACCATCTCCTCACTTCATTCACTCATTGATTACTCCACCAGATTCTTATTAACAGCCTCCTGGGTGCCACGGTGGCCTGCGGAGTTTTACGAATGAAAGCCATGCCAGGTTCTAGATCAAGCTCTGGGGACATAAAGACAGGAATAGAGGTCACTGTCCTTCCCAGGACTGCAGGCTAGTGGAGGAGACAGGCACAGAACCCAATCTTAGTACGCAAATGAGGAATGCAGCAGTGCAGTGGGAGGAGGAGCAGGGAGCCACAGATAATAGGATGATGAGAACAGTTTCCTAGGCATCAGCATACAATAAAAACCGAAATCCACAAGTAAGATGCTCTGTTATGCTTGGTAAATATTACTAAGGTAATATTGAAAAACCAGTTCCATGACTTTTGAATCCCTAGTCAACTTCAAGATATAAAAGAGTCAGTGAGGCCGGGCGTGGTGGCTCAGGCCGTAATCCCAGCCCTTTGGAAGGCTGAGGCAGGTGGATCATCTGAAGTCAGGAGTTTGAGACCAGCCTGGCCAACATGGTGAGATCCCATCTCTACTAAAAATACAAAAATTAGCCAGGCATGGTGGCACATGTCTGTAGTCCCAGCTACTCTGGAGGCTGAGGCTGGAGAATTGTTTGAACCAGGGAGGTGGAGGTTGCAGTGAGCTAAGATCACACCACTGCACTCCAGCCTGGGAGACAGAGCGACACTGTAAAAAAAAAAAAAAAAAAAAAAAAAAAAGGAAAGAAAAACGAAAAAAGAAGAAGAGGAGTCAATGACAGCGGGAGAAAGGAAAGATTTATGAAATTTTCCCGGGAGACCACTGTGGGCCTGCCATGAGTGGGCCTTCACTGGGACCTCTCAGAAAGTTTGGTGTGTGTGTGCCTGCAGTTTGGGACAATGTGCAGTTAGGTGGGAGAGAAGAGCTGTCTAACCACCCTGGGGGCAGAGTCAGAAGTTTTTGCTGTAGTGGGATCAGCCTGTACTTATCTGTGAGTGTATGTGGAGAGGATGGTGGGTGAACCAAGAGCTGGAGAACAGAGGCCTGCAGTGTGGAGGCACACAGTCGTGGGAGTGAGGAAGTCAGGAAAAAAGTATCAGCTTCCACCAGGTAGCAGGCCCAGAGAGCAGGAAACTGCCCAGCCACAGAACTACCCTGCGCCCACCTCCCTGTCTCCTTGCACTTCCACCTGTGCGGGAGGAGATCGGAGATGGGCAGAAACTGATCACTCAAATGCCAACTTGTTTTTTTATTTTTTTTAGTTTTTCGATGGAGTCTCGCTCTGTCGCCCAGGCTGGAGTGCAGTGGTGCGATCTTGGCTCGCTGCAACCACTGCCTCCCAGGTTCAAGTAATTTTCCTGCCTCAGCCTCCTGAGTAGCTGGGACTACAGGCACCTGCCACTACACCCGTCAAATGCCAACTTTTTATCTTAGCTGAGGAGGGACAGCAGAAGTCTTCATTTGAATGAACTTTGAAGCTAATGAATACCTCAGACCAAAACTCTTAATTTCTGAATTAAGGTGTTGTTTGTAACTTAAGAGGGTTTTGACTATTACATGAGAGTGAACAGAAGAGCCACGGGACCTGCCAAGTTTCCATCCAGGGCAGGGAAGAGCCCCTCCAATGAATGCTTTAAAGGGACTTGTGAAAACGACAATAAACATGGGCTTTGATTACATCACAAATAGTTGTTTTATGTATAAGTTATACGGAGAGAAGCATCAACTCAGGGTGGGAAGACCCATTCTGATTATGTCTGTAAATCTGAAAACAGCTATTCCTGTACCTACTAACAGAAAGAGAAGGAGTATTCAGTCCCCTTGTTCGTAGCAAAACATTTCCTTCATTGGGCATTCTACGTCCCTAAAGTTAGGTCCAAGTGTCCCTGAAGTTAGTTCTTAGCTTATTTCATGTTGATGATGCCATTGGGCATCGTTATGCGATTATGTACCCACAGAAATGGAAACCCATCCATGAAACATCCGAGTCAGCTGCCAGCCTGACCCCCACCTCGACCCCTGCACTCTAACATTCCCTGTTTATCAGGATTTCCGGGAGACATAAGACCACCCAGCTGCTGGCAATCAAAAATGCCTCATAGATAGAATACAACCATTCCATCCTCAAAGCAGTGGGAAAAAATGAGGCAAATGTTTGAAAAATTCCATTTCAAGAATGCTCTTTTCCTTGAAATTTCCATTTAAATTAAAAGTGATTTTTCCTTTTGACCATGAAATTATTCATATAATTTCCACAACTTTTACATAGCAAATATTGCGTGGTCGAAGGAAAAGTAGTCCACTCGGCACCAGCGAAGAAGAGTTAATCGTGTCCTGCTGCGAAATTTCCCACTGGATAGGAGCCTTTTCACCTGTGAAGAATGATCTGTATGTGTTTGGCTTTTGATGCAGAAGCCTCTTTCCCAGCGTAAACTCTGAAATAAAATCACTCAGTGCCAGCAAGTGCTTGCCTGTTAACACAATAAGACCTTTCAGTGTTTTTCCATTACTTTGATCTCCAAGGAATTATCCACTAACAACACATATGTCCACTATACTATTATCAATATAAAAATATCAACATTGTTAAAGAAAAAGTGCCAGGCTTGGCAACTGGGGTAAGTGTACACCGTATTGTATACGATATTGAATATCAATAAAATCAATAAAAGAGCAAAAGAACTGGAATTTATCTGAAACAGGAGAACAATATATGGTCCTAGGGCTTCTTTTAAGAGACCACATCATGTAAGTTTTTATTTCACATTATTATATTGATTGAGACCATTGCTTCTTTAAAATGCTTGAATGTGGTAAGAGTTAGCAGAGACATTCTATTTGCCTCACACTGACCCTTGGGTTAAACATAAATGCCAAAGAGTACTCCAGTGAGGGTATCTCACTTAAGCTACTTATCTAAACCCTGACACATTGCTTATGAAGTATGAGAAGAGGCATTTATGATACTGGAAGGAAGCAGAGGCTTTTCTGTTTGTTTTATCATTTTGCACTTGTCTTTTGCAGGCTCTGAATAAATCAATTTTGTCTTTTTGGCCCTAGGGTTACAGTAACTGCAATGTGCAACATGGACTTCAGCCGATTTCCCTTGGACACACAAACGTGCTCTCTTGAAATTGAAAGCTGTGAGTAGACTTGTGCCCAGGCATCAGCACACAGCTCCTGATAATTCTCGACACCTCTAACTCTCAGCTGCAGGAACAGTGTGTGTTCCTTATTCATGAGTAGACTTTTTTTTTTTTTTTCTCTGAGACGGAGTCTCACACTGTCACCTGGGCAGGAGTGCAGTGGCGCAATCTCTGCTCACTGCGACCTCTGCCTCCCAGGTTCAAGTGATTCTCCTGCTTCAGCCTCCCGAGTAGCTGGGATTACAGGTGTCTGCCACCACGTCTGGCTAATTTTTTGTGTTTTTAGTAGAGATGGAGTTTCACCATGTTGGTCAGGCTGGTCTCGAATGGCTGACCTTGTGATCCACCTGCCTCGGCCTCCCAAAGTGCTGGGATTACAGGCGTGAGCCACGGCGCCCAGCCTTCATGACTATACTTTTAAAGTAATGTGTTAGATTGAATCTAGGTCTAGGGTAATTTTAAATATCAGGAACAAATTTGAAACTAAAATCTTCATTGGCATAACTGGCCTTTTTAATGCCCTGTGGCAATGGTTTTAAACTTTGTTCTATGGAATCAGGGTAACTGCTTGGGAAGGGGAAGGAGAGGGATAAGTGAATGTGGGTCTCCTTCCAAGCCCTTTGCCCAACACACACACACACACACACACGAGTTCATCCAGAGAGCTCATTTTTGATATGTTTTATTGCTCTTCTGAATGTAATTTCTGCTGAAGAAAGGATTTCTTGGCCAAAACAAGTTTGACAACAGTTGCCCTAGGGAACTGCCACTGCGAGTTTGTGTGGTGGATGACACTCTCAAGCACAACAAGCGACTTCAGGAAGCTTGCACACACACAGACATCCTGGAAAAGCTAAAAACCAGGCCCCGTGACACCATAGGCGCAGATGACAAAAGAAAAAATATGCAAATTAGACTATATGAAAATTGTTAATTTTGAGCATCGACATTATCAACAGAGTAAAAAGACAACCCACAAATGGGAGAATATATTGATAAATCATCTATCTGATTAAGATCGATATCCGGAATATAAAGAGAACAACTAAAACTCAACAACAACAACAAAACAATCTGCTTAAAAAAAATGGACAAAAGACTTGAATAGACATTTCTCCAAAGAAGGTATACAAATGGCCAAGAAGCACATGAAAAGATGTTCAACATCACTAATCATTAGGAAAATGCAAACCAAAACTACAATGAGTTACATTTACTGGGATGAATACTGTCAACAAAACAGAAAACAATGCTGGGGAGGATGTGAATAAATTAGAACCCTTATGCTTTGTGGGTAGTAATGTATAATGGTGCAGCCACTGGGGAAAACAGCTCCTCAAAAAATTAAAACAATGGCTGGGCACGGTTGCTCACACCTGTAATCCCAGCACTGTGGGTGGCCGGGGTTAGAGGATCACTTGAGTCCAGAAGTTGAAGACCAGCCCGGGGAACATAGTAAGACCCTGTCTCTACAAAAAATACAAAAATGTGCCGGGCATGGTGGCTGGTACCTGTGGTCCCAGCTACTCGGGAGGCTGAAGCAGGAGAATCACTGGAGCCCAAGAGCCTGAGCCTGCAGTGAGCTATGATTGTACCACTGCACTCCAGCCTGGGTGAGAAAGCAAGAGCCCTGTCTCAAAAAAAAAAAAAAAAAAAAATTATGGATCCTGAAATTGTTTCTTCATGAATGGGCATAGAGGTGTCATCATTGCACCATTGCGTTCCAGCCTGGGAAGCAGAGCAAAACTCTGTCTCAAAAAAAAAAAAAGAAAAAAAAAAAAAAAAAAGGAAAGAAAAAAAAAATTAAGAACATATGATCCAACAAATCCATTTCTGGGTATATAACCAAAATAATTGAAAGCAGGGTCTTGAAAAGGAATTTGTATACTCGTATTTATAGCAGTTTTATTCACAATTGCTAAAACATGAAAACAACCCAAGTGTCCATCACTGGATGAATGGATACACGGAATGTAGTATCTGCATACAGTGGAAGAGTGTTCAGCCTTAAAACACGAGGGTTTCCGATACATGCTACAGCACGAATGAAACTTGAGGGCAGTGTGCTAAGTGAAATCCGCCAATCGCAAAAGACAAATACTGTATGATTTCACTTTTAAGAGGTACTTAGCAGAGTCAAAATTATAGAGACAGAAAGTAGAATGGTGGTTGCCAGAGGCTGGGGGGAGGGGAAACAGGGATGAGGGGTTATTGTTAAATGGGTATGGAGCTTCAGTTTGGGAAGATGAAAAGAGTTCCGGAGATGGATGGTGGTATGACCATCATAATGGTTGTATTTATGTGGTAATGTAGTACCACATAAATACTACATGAAAATTTAAAAATGCTGTGCATCAAAACATTATCAACAGAGTAAATGCAACCCACGAATGGGAGAATATACATTGGCAAATGGTATGTCCAACCATAAGAATGGTTGTATTTATGTAGTAATTTTCATGTAGTATGATTTTCATTATATTTATCATGCATCATAAATACAACACTAAGAATGTAGTGCAATACCACTGAAGTTACACTAAAGAATGGTTAAGATGGTAAATTTTATGTTATGTGTATTTTAACACAACACACACACACACACACCCCAGAAACCAGGCCACAGAAAGAGCCAGGCTGAAGCTGTGTAAAATGATCCATATCCACATGCCATCTCTGTCCCTCTACATGTCCGCTCCTTTCTCCTCCCTGCCAAAACACTTTCTCTGACAGCACAGGGGACACCCTTGTGACTCCTACACTCCCCCTGAACGCTGGCACTCCCTGGCAGTGTCAAAGCCCGAGTGAGGGTTCTCACTGGTCCAGTGCACTTTGTAAGCCAGCCTGGGCTTGTGGCAGTGGATCAGGTGTTTGTTCCCTGGCTCCAATCACCTGGGACCAAGGAGTGCAGGGATGTTGACATCACACACCACTGGGGCCAAAGGGACAGCTGCCTAGGGCATTGGATGTGGGGAAAGGGTGTAATAAAACCCAGGACCAAGGGAGTGGCTGCTTATTGCACAATGGCTTTACCTCTGCCTTGTCATGCAACCCTCACAAGAGCCTGATGAGCAGGTTATCATCATTTTACAAAGGAGGGACAGAGCTCGGTGGCAGAGCCAGACTGAAATACTGAGTTCATTGTCTCCAGAACTTAGTTTTCCCCACTATGCCTGGGCAGCTTCTGCCTCCATCTGGAATGTAGCCTTTTTTCAGGTTGTATCGGTCATGGCTCCACCAAATAAACAGAACCAGTAGGATATACAGAGTAGAGATTTATTGCACGGAAGTGGCTAGCGGGATTGTGGGGGCTGGCTAAGAGACCCACATCTGCGGGGCAGGCCATCGGGAGTGCAGGAGGGGCGCTCTGGGGCAGGAGCGGATGCCACAGTCCACAGGTGGGATTTCTTCTTCCAGGAAGCCTCAGCTCTGCCCCTAAGGCCTTTCACCTGATGGAATCAGGCCCACCCAGATTATCCAGGAAAATCCCCTTTAAAGTCCACTGGTTGTAGATGTTAGTCACACCTGCAAAACACTGTTACAGATTACTGTTTGATTGCATAATTGGGTACCACAGCCAAGCCGAGTTGACTCATGAAACTGACTATCACACAGGTCAAGTGTTAGAAAACAGGAATAAAATAGTGCCAGGGAGTCCTGGAAGGAATTGTTTACACTTGAGCAGACTGGACTGGCAGTGCCATGCGACTTTTCCTCAGTTATGCTCAGGCTGGAGGTAGGTTTGTTCACTTGGAGTTCACCGGAAACAGGTGAGGGAAGGGGAAATGGTAGCACCAGAAAGGGTGATGATCATGGAGTCACTTCGACTTTACCCTGAGTAGGAGTAACTGGAGTCCTACAGAGGAGGGACTTGTTCCACTCCCATATCTTTGTGGGTCTTTTCTTGCTAAAATGCAGCCTTTATTACCTGATAGTGTTTACAGATACTTGCCATCAATTGATGAGTCGCCACACTTTGAAAGAAGAAAGGAAAAGGCTAAATTACTACCTGTTTGTAAGGCTGAGCCATGTGAAATTTTGCCAATATTTAACCATTTCTAACTTACAAAAATAGCAATTTCATTTGATTGAACCTAATAAATGGCAGGCCGAATTGTAGGGTGAACCTTTTGCAGGAAGTATGAGCATTTGGGCTTGAGAACTTTGCTCTGATGACTTTTGGAAGAGTGGAGATAATTAAATTTGTCTTTTTGGATATTGTTTTGCTTTATTTAGACTGTGGTTTGTTTTTCAAACTATCATATCACAATCCCAGTATCAGTGTGGGAGGTCAGGGCACAGCTTCCACGTAGCCCCACAGACCATCCTGTCTTGCCACCACCTTGTGTCTGACGCTGGCCCCTGTCTTTTCAGATGCCTATACAGAAGATGACCTCATGCTGTACTGGAAAAAAGGCAATGACTCCTTAAAGACAGATGAACGGATCTCACTCTCCCAGTTCCTCATTCAAGAATTCCACACTACCACCAAACTGGCTTTCTACAGCAGCACAGGTAAGTGTGGGGTGAGGGCTGAGAGTCAGGGCGGCTTCAGCTTGGTCTCAGAGGTTCACCCTCTATTACAGGAAAGGTTTGAATTGGTCATCAATTGAGCAGTGTCACTTATATTTGAAACTAAAGACAGAGGCAGGGTGCAGTGGCTCATGTCCCAGCACTTTGGGAGGCCAAGGTGGATGGATCGCTTGAGCTTAGGAGTTCAAGACCAGCCTGGCCAACATGGCGAAACTCAGTCTCTACTAAAAATACAAAAATTAGCCAAGCATGGTGGCATACGCCTGTAGTCCCAGCTACCCGGAAGGCTAAGGTGGGAGATCCCTTGAGCCCTGGAGTTCGAGGTTACAGTGAGCTGAGATCACGCCACTGCACTCCAGCCTGGGCGACAGAGTGAGACCCTGTCTCAAAAAAGAAAAGAAAAGAAAAGAAAAGAAACTAAAGACAGAAATCCTAAGTGAAATCTAATAGGTAGCAAGCAGTGGGTGGAAGTGATTTTTTTGATACCACCAATGCATCAGAGTAACAACCTAAAAAATTAGTAAGGACTGAAAACATAAGCCGCGTGAGCGGGTTTATTTGAGACAATCGCATTGCCAGCTTAGTAGGCATCTCAGCCATGATATGCTGATCTGACCCCCCTCCTTGACAGCAAGAAACAAGTATAATTCAGGTCTGTTGTTTTCAATTTACGTTCTCGCTGCTCCAACCAGCCCCGTGGGGTCACTCCACTCTTGACCAGTCTGCTCTTGCTATGCTGCTTGCACAGCCCCTCCTGGTGACTCCCTTCTAAGTCTCAGTGCAGTCCCCTGTGGACCCAGTTGTTCCTTTTTGAACCAAGGGTGGGGACAGGCTCACCCTCTCCTGTTGCCTGAGGGCATGCTCTGTGACCTCTCTACTGGGAGTTTGCCTGCACTAAATAGCTGAGGTTAACTCGCTCCATTTCTTGCCTTTAAAAAAAAAAAAAAATTCAATAGTTTTAGGGATACTAATGGGAATACTAGTGGGTTTTGATTACATCAATGAATTGTATAGTGGTGAAGTCTAGGATTTTTTGTTTTGTTTTGTTTTGAGACGGAGTCTCACTCTGTTGCCCGGGCTGGAGTGCAATGGCCAGGTCTGGACTCACTGCAACCTCTGCCTCCCGGGTTCAAGCAATTCTCCTGCCTCAGCCTCCCAAGTAGTGGGATTACAGGCACCCACTATCAAGGCTGGTTAATTTTTATATTTTTAGTAGGGATGGGGTTTCACCATGTTGGCCAGGCTGGTCTCGAACTTTTGACCTCAAATGAGTTGCCCGCCTTGGCCTCCCAAAGTGCTGGGATTACAGGTGTGAACCACTGTGCCCGGCTGAAGTCTAGGATTTTAGTACATCTGTCACCTGAGTGGTGTACATTGTACCCAATAGGTAGTTTTTCATCCATCACTCTCCTCCCACCCTCCCCGCTTCTGAGTCTCCAGTGTCCACTATACCACTCTATATGCCTTTATGTTCCCATAGCTTAGCTCCCACTTATAAGTAAGAACATGTGGTATCTGCTTTTCAATTCCTGAGTTATTTCACCTAGAATAATGGCCTCCAGTTCCATCTAAGTTACTGCAAAAGACATTATTTCATCTTTTTTTTTTATGGGAGAGTGGTATTCCATGGTGTGTATATACCATATTCTCTTTATCCATTCATCTGTTGATGGACACTCAGGTTGATTCCATATCTTTCTAACTGTGAATTGTGCTTCTTGCCTCTTTTTTGACCAGTCACCTTTCAGGATGATTTTGCTCAAATCTTCATGCAGTTTCTTTTTTTTTTTTTTTTCTTTTTTTTTTGAGACGGAGTCTCGCTCTGCCCGCCAGGGCTGGAGTGCAGTGGCCAGATTCTCAGCTCACTGCAAGCTCCGCCTCCCGGGTTCACGCCATTCTCCTGCCTCAGCTCGAGTACTGGGACTACAGGCGCCCGGCCACCCTCGCCGGGCTTAGTTTTCGTGTATTTTTTAGTAGAGATGGGGGTTTCACCGTGGTCGCCAGGATGGTCTCGATCTCCTGACCTCGTGATCCGCCCGTCTCGGCCTCCCAAAGTGCTGGGATTACAGGCTTGAGCCACCGCGCCCGGCCTCTTCATGCAGTTTCTATGGCTAATATTTGCGCAACTGACTGCACAGGGAAACACATTCTTTTTAAATACCCCATGGTCTTTCTAATCTGTAAGAGGGAGAACCAACATAGCACTGCAACCCAGCACATATTATCTCCTGTATCCATCACCCCAAAAGTATTGGTTCCTTGGGGGAACCCTGTTCTTTTGACCCTCAGCATTCTGACAATCCCTCTGCAGTAGCTTGCTGGTAACCAGAGGCGTGTCCCATGCATTATAATGACCCGGGATGCCAAGTTTCCAAGTTCATATTGCCAAGTCCCCATCCATTTTATTTTCAGTCCTAGGCATCTCATGTATATAAGGCCTTTTCCTTTTTTTTCCCATCATCCTCCCTTTCTCTTCAACTCCTCCATGCATATGTTTTCCTTGTAAGGATACAAAAGAAGAGCTAAAATGTAGCTGGACCTGTGATTGTTCACTGTGTTCCTAAATACAATGTTGTATGTAACTTTCTTTTTTAACTTAAAGCACATTTCTCCCCTTAAGGAATCTAAAGAGATTGTTTAAATCAGTGTATCTCAAACTTTGACATGCATATGAATTATGAACAAATAATAAATATACATATACATATATATATACACATATACATATTTGTTTTTTTCCTAATAGAGACAGGGTCTCACTCTGTGGCTCAAGCTGGAGTGCAGTGGGGCGATCATAGCTCACTGTAAACTCGAACTCCTGAGCTCAAGCAATCCTCCCACCTCGGCCTCCCAAAGTGCTGGGATTACAGGCATGAGCCACCGCGCCTAGCTGAGAATATTGTTAAATGGACGTCCAATTAAGTAGGTTTGGGTTGGGGCCCAGGTATCTGCATTTATAACAAGCTCCCAGGTGATAGTGAGGTTGCTGAACCCTAGACCGGGTAATGGGAGTAACAGGAGTTTAAATGACCCAGGCATGATGGTGGTTCATACCTGTAATGTCAGCATTTTGGGAGGCTGAAGTGGGTGGATCACTCGAAGCCGGGAGTTCGAGACCAGCCTGGTGAACATAGCAAGACCCAGTCTCTACCAGAAAAATTTAAAAATTCATTCGGTGTAGTGGTACCAGTTACTTGGGAGGCTGAGGTGGGAGGATTGCTTGCACCCAGGAGTTCGAGGCTGCTGTGAGCCAAGATTGCACCACTGCACTCCAGCCTGCTGACAGAGCGAGACCCTGTCTTAAAAAAAGAAAAAAATTTAAATGATCTTTTCAAGGGGTTCCCTTTGTAAATAGGACAAGGGCCAAAGGTTTCTCGAAACAGATGCACCCAGGTGGTATGTGTTGCTGTATAATCACTTTGTTCCATGATTTCTCTCACTTTCACCTTATAAAGACATGGTCCAAGAGTCCATTGGAGTGTCTAAGGCACTTACGATTTCCTGAATAAAATGTGTTTTATGAAGGAGCCATGATGTGTACTGTCTTTTATTCCTGTGTCCCCCAGGCTGGTACAACCGTCTGTACATTAACTTCACGTTGCGTCGCCACATCTTCTTCTTCTTGCTCCAAACTTATTTCCCCGCCACCCTAATGGTCATGCTGTCCTGGGTGTCCTTCTGGATCGACCGCAGAGCTGTGCCTGCCAGAGTCCCCTTAGGTAAGGAATATCTCAAGTGCATATTCCAAGCATCTGCAAATATAGGTATTAACAATTCCTTCCAGATAAAACCATTCTTTTCAAATTGATTCTATACCCCTTTTGGCGTTATGACTTGGAAAAACTCAAGAGTTATTTATTTATAGGTAAAATCCCGTAATTAGGAATCTATGTAGCAAAATGCTTTCCAGGACTCTGCAGGTGCCCATCCAAACAGACCCCCTTTAGTCTTGTCGAAGCCATGTTCCAGGGTGGGTGAGCCTGGTCTTTAGGTGCCTTCTTTGCTCACCTGCAAAATGAATCATGTCCTACAACAGTGTTTCTCAAATGGTAGCTCAAGGGCTCTTTGTGATAGAATCTTTGTGGGAAATTGTTAAAAACGAAGGGTCCTGGGTCTCATCTGCATCTATAGAATGAGAATCTCTGAGGGAGGATCAGGAACCTGCATTTTTTACAGGCTCTTCCAGTAATTATTCTATGCACTCAAGTCTGAGAATCCTTTCTCTATCAGCATTCCACTTATGGCTATTTGCCATCAGCTCTTTTTCTCACCTTAAGTATTGTACGCATTTATACACACCACCATTGCTCAGACAGTTCAGGGGCTGCAGGGGAGAATGCGACCCACCAGGTTTTAGTGAAACTGGATTGGAGCTGGCCCTTAAGATGACCCCAATCCCCTGTGATTTGATGTTTGCCAAACAAATGTTCTGAGCTTAATTTGAAATCCTGGGCAAATTTCCATGGACAGATGCCTTGTCCTCTAACAGTTGTTCCATAGCTTGAACAGTTACTGTGCTAAATAGATAAACACTCTAGTTTTAAAATCTGTTTCCTATAAATGAAGTTAATGTTGTCATCCTTAGTGAAATTGACCCATGAATCCTCAAGTGAACAATGCTGAATGGGCAGCTAGGTCCAGCATGGTGGTGGCTGCTGGGGGTGCCCTGGCAGCTGTCAACACAGGCCCGGGACAACAGGACTGCACACCAAGAGCCAGGACGTGATATTAAAATAAACCTTATGGGCTTTTTCCCCTTGATGGAGCAGTAGTTATAAGAAACATATATACCTGTTCATACATGCAACCTCTTATTTTGTAAAACTTGAATTGAAACAAATGTTTTAATGTCAAAATGTCTAGGGTTCTTTGCAGAAGAATAGTGACACAGATGCTATGATGAATACACAGGGTATGCAGAGGGGTGAAAGGGTAGGGATGCAGGGGGAGAGGAACAGGAAAAGCTTCATGAAAAGCTAAATCTTGAAAGATGTGTGGGTGTTTGCTAGACAGTGGAGCAGGGATGGCGACATTCTAGGTTGAGGGAGCAGCAGGGACAAATGAGCAGAGGCATGAAACCATCCCATGTTTGTTGAAAGGCAAGCAAACACTTGTTTCTCATTCTTGTGCTTGCAGGTATCACGACGGTGCTGACAATGTCCACCATCATCACGGGTGTGAACGCCTCCATGCCACGTGTCTCCTACATCAAGGCCGTGGACATCTACCTCTGGGTCAGCTTTGTGTTCGTTTTCCTCTCGGTGCTGGAGTACGCGGCCGTCAACTACCTGACCACCGTGCAGGAGAGGAAGGAACAGAAGCTGCGGGAGAAGGTGACTTTGCCATGCGCTTATAGTGTCTGGTCAGGATGGAGCCTGATCTAGTTCTGGAACCTCAGGCAGGGCAGACCTCCCCTGTAAAGCAGGGTCATGAAACCCTCTCCTGTGCCTACTTCACAGGGTCGTTGTGAAGAGCAAACAAATTGGTGTATTTCAAGTCATTGTGAAATTTACTTTGGGTGACATCTTTCATTCATTGAAACATTTATTTTGCAGTTACCACATACTTGGACCACGTCTTAGTTAAGTGTTAGGGAACTTCTTGGTGTTGTTCATAGTTTAGTGAGGGAATCCCAGGAGAAAAATAAATGACAATTTAACATGGTGGAACAAATTATTTATGAACATAAAGGTGTAATAAAAGAATTGTCCAGGGAAGAACTTTCTCATTCTAGGAAATCTTTTTTCATATGTAACCTCATGCATCCTCCACCTTTCCCCAGGTTATCTTCCCTCCCACCTGACTCTCCTTTCCTCCTGCAGTGTGCAGCTCGGGGGTTATCTCCCCCAGCAAACTCTAACCATATTGCAGTAATCTATCCCCACAATGCCAATCCCCATCCCCGTGGCAAATGCACATGTTCATGCACACACTTGTAATAATGTGATCTGTAAACATTTTCATCAAGGGCTCATAATAGCTTATGATCTCATGGAGAACAGGGTGATCTATGAATCATGAGCATTCTTCTTGGTCTTTGGTATGGCATTGTGATATTTCCTAAGAGTCAGTATGCAGATTTTAGATCAGCAAAAATGGATACCAGGCTGGGCTCAGTGACTCACGCCTGTAATCCCAGCACTTTGGGAGGCTGAGGTGGGTGGATCACCTGAGAGCAGGAGTTTGAGACCAGCCTGGCCTACATGATGAAACCCCGTCTCTACTAAAAGTACAAAAAATCCGCCTGGCGTGGTGGTGTGTGTCTGTAATCCTAGCTACTTGGGAGGCGGAGGCAGGAGAATCGCTTGAACCCCGGAGGCAGAGGTTGCAGTGAGCTGAGATTGATTGTGCCATTGCACTCCAGCCTGGGCAATGAGAGCGAAACTCAAGTCTCAAAAAAAAAAAAAAAAAAAAGATACTTACCCTCTTCCCAAACTGGGAATACCAGAAACCAGAAAAAGGTAACACCCTCCACTATGCAGTTCCTTTTGAAGGGCTTCTGAGAGGTGATGCTGAGCTCACACCCCAGTGTGTTTGCTGTGTTTGCAGCTTCCCTGCACCAGTGGATTACCTCCGCCCCGCACTGTGATGCTGGATGGCAACTACAGTGACGGGGAGGTGAACGACCTGGACAACTACATGCCAGAGAATGGAGAGAAGCCTGACAGGATGATGGTGCAGCTGACCCTGGCCTCAGAGAGGAGCTCCCCACAGAGGAAAAGTCAGAGAAGCAGCTACGTGAGCATGAGAATCGACACCCACGCCATTGATAAATACTCCAGGATCATCTTTCCAGCGGCATACATTTTATTCAATTTAATATACTGGTCTATTTTCTCCTAGATGTTTGTAATTCTATAAATTTCACATTTCCATGGCATGCACTACAGAAATAACTGTATAATGAAAAAGAATTTAAGGGTATGGTTAAAAAAAAGTCCCAGGACCCACCCATGTTTTCACTATCCCTTCTGCAGTTTTGCAAAGCTACATTGACAAGACACTTACTGGTTTAATTTGTACTTATTAACCATCTATTGAATATACAGCATTATATTAGGTGCTGCAGGATTATGACTCTGTAGTGATTGATGTTAGTTGTTACCCAGATCCCCTGGAAAAGCACACTACCAGTGTTGTGGGCACATTTAGTTCCACCCATTAGACCCTTGATGCTATTCACATGAATAATTTATTTTCGTCGAGTGTCATTACATTCTTCAGGCTAGGTGGACTTGGAAGCACCTAAAGGCCATTTGCATGAAATTCACATGCACCTAAATCCTCACTTTGACAGAAGCTCATGCTTCAGTTTATAACCTATTACCTATTTTGTATGCAACTCTGCCTCTGCATGTTTATTTTAATAAAAGACAATGATAATATTCACATTATTTTTCTTTATATGCTGTGGTTCACAAGTTTTACTCCTTCACAAGAAAAACTCTTTAGATTGGTGCAATTGCTTCTGATTTTGGTAAAAGTTTCCCTGGTAGGGAAACTTTGGAGATAAGAGTACACACATGCATTTTGTCTGTTGTGTCATAGAGGTAACTAGGCTAGAAAATTTGTGTTTAAATGTTCCCTTTTTATATAATCACCACTTCGTGTATCTTCTTCTTGGAGCATGTCCTTGTTCAAAGAGAAGTCCTTTCTCAGTGATATGATGTCTTCACTGAGGAACTTGGGTAGAGAATGATTTCTTCTGCATAAACATTTCAAGGAAATACATTATTTGGGACTACTTGTAACTCATTAGAATGAGAAATACTCACACGGTTTCTTAAGAGAAAAAGAACATCAGAAAGCAAAATAAATAGGAAGACGTCACTGGACATCTGCATTTATACTCGAAATGCCAGCATTTTCTATGAACCAGAAAACTGCCATCACCTAGACCACACAGCCCAGATACCAGGCAAAAGGATGGCCCAATGGCAACTGATGTCAGGGCATGGGGTAAAGGAGAGGGTTCTAATTTGATGTATCATTGAAAAACAGTTATTTATATTATATATCTACTATATAGATCAACCCCCACCAAACTTACCCAAACAGCATTTGTTTTATTTGAAACTCACTTTAATAAAGTGAATTATATACACAATAATGTCATTTTCATTTCAAAGTTAATTTGACTCATCACCAGTACTAAATATTATATTTCTACATTGCAGGACTGTATACTAATTTGAAAAAGCCTATTTGCCTAAACCCTAATTATAATGTAATCTCCCATTATCTCCAATGAAAACTCACCAAAAGAAAGCTTTTGGCAAACTTGAATAAACTTAAAGGGATTTAGATAAAATAGTTAAATTTTAACTCTTTAAATATTGTATTCTCATTTTACTTTTTTGAGACAGGGTCTCACTCTGTCACCCAGGCTGGAGTGCAGTGGTGCCATCTCAGCTCACTGCAACCTCTACCTCCCAGGCTCAAGTGGTTCTCCCACCTCAGCCTCCTGCATAGCTGGGCTACAGGCGTGTTCCACCACACTCGGCTAATTTTTTAAAGTTTTTGTAAAGACAAGGTCTCATTATATCGCTCAGGCTGGTCTCAAACTCCTGAGCTCAATCAGTCCTCCCACCTCAGCTTTCCAAAGTGCTGGGATTATAGGCATGAGCCATCGCACCTACCCCTAAATGTTAACTTTTGATATTTAAAAATATTATTTTAAAAACACTGCTTTTTTCCATGATTATTTTATAGAACAATTGCAATCAAACTCTTTACAGACATCTTTGCTGCTGTCTTCTTCCTCATGATCACTAGGGCCACTGTGAGTCAGCTGGAATGTATCGAGGGCACACCATCTGAACTTCCGTCTGTTTGTACGGGATACTCCACCATTTGAAGCAGCCTATGGGATACTCTATCAGTGTGCTAAAGTTGCCATAGCGAAGTACCACAGACTGGGTGGCTTAAACAACAGAAATTTATTTTCTCATAGTTTTGGAGGCTGAAGTCCAAGACCAAGGTGTTGGCAGGCTTGGTTTCCCTGGAAGCCTCTCTCCCTGGCTTGTAGATGACTGTTTTCTCACTGTGTCTTCACATGGTCTTTCCTCTGTATATGTGTGTGTCCTAATTTCTTCTTCTTATAAAGACAGTGGTCATATTGGAATAGAGCCCATGCTAATGACCTGATTTAACCTTTGTAAAGGTTAAACCTTTGTAATTAAACCTTTGTAAAGGCCTATCTTCAAATACAGCTATGTTGGGAGTTAGGGCTTCAATATATGAATTTGGGGGCCATAGGGAGAGCCAGTTCATTCAATAACAGATGCCAATGGAAACTGTCAATTTGCTTAATAGTATAATGCATCTTTTAGATGTTTATTCTTGATGATTTTTACGACATAATCACATGCAGCATTGTTTTTTAAAGTGAGATTTAAAAGACTTATTTACATTGATAGTCACACCAGTGATTGTGAGGAATCAGTGATTAAATTCATGTTAAATGTCTTTGCTATCTTTTCTGGCAATTCCCAGTGACCACTTTGAGTATCTAAAACTAGCATTAATTGAATAATTTCCATGCTAATGTGTTTTTTTAAGGCATTACTTTTTCTGTCAAAGTTATGTAATTGACAGAGAGCTCTGTAGTGTGACTTAGTAAGGACCCAAATATAAAGCAACTCCCTCTTTTTTGAAGGATAAGTTTGGAGAAAACCATATAATATATCTGAGCATCTATAGTACTTAATACATTTTACTGGCATGAATAGGAAGATTTGGTTAATAATATTGTCTGGTTAATGGGCAGATACCATGTGGCTATATTGAATATATTTTTTTAATTTTTAAAATTTTTTGAAGAGACAAAATCTCACTATATTGCCCAGTCTGGTCTCAAGTAAAATTCCTGACCTCAAGCAACCTTTCTCTGCCTCGGCCTCCCAAAGTGCTGGAATTACAGGCATGAGCCACTGTGCCTGGCTTGAATAATTAATTTTTAAAGAGTTAAAATATATTTGACTAAAACCATATCAAACATAATGTATTCTCTGCCTGGTATTCAGAAGGTGCTGTAGGATTCTGAAGGATTTTTATCACTGTAATACAGTGTGGGCATCATCCAGATGTGCAGAGGGGTTAGGCAGTAGAGAACTGGAGTTTCGCTATTCTCTAGTTGCCTTCATAATTCATACTTTATAGGGAAGGGTGGTGATGCTAGATCTTAGAATAAAAAATGGCTTATATTTTGGTGACAATGAAACCTCACATTTGTAAATCTAGTTTTACAAAAAATACTTCCACATTCTGTTTCATTTGAACCTGAATGAGGAAATTCTAAAAGCCAATAGAGGCTGATGGAACAACATGCAGATAACATGGTTAATAAGTGAAAGACACTTTTTTTTTTTTTTGGACACAGAGTGTTGCTCTGTCACCCAGGCTGGAGTGCAGTGGTACAATCTCAGCTCACTGCAACCTCTGCCTCCCAGGTTCAAGCGATTCTCCTGCCTCAGCCTCCTGAGTAGCTGCGATTATAGGCGCCTGCCACCATGCTTGGCTAATTTTTTTTTTTTTTTGTATTTTTAGTAGACATGGGGTTTCATCATGTTGGCCACGCTGGTCTCGAGCTCCTGACCTCACGTGATATGCCTGCTTCAGCCTCCCAAAGTGCTGGGATCACAGGCGTGAGTCATCGTGCCCAGCCTTAAGTGAAAGACTCTTGACTCAATGTTCATTCACCTTATTACAGATAATAAATACTGGACAACCAAACTGTCATACACAATACATAAACATTGCTATAAGGAAATATTTTAACTAATCATTGGTATATTTTAATTAATTCATTCATTTATTCATATATTCGTCAAGTAATACAGAGCACCTATTACATTGTAGGAAACATTTTAGACCAGAGCTTCTCAAACTATCTGTGGTGAAGGTTCAGCTTGTTTTATTTTTTAAAATGTCAGTCCATCAGCTATTTGTATGATGAGTTTTTTGAACATGGAGAGTCCCTGACATAACCCAGTCCTGTGCCTGCATCTCCTCCTTCAGAACCATGGAGCCCAGTACCGTGTGTGGCTAAAATAACAATCACAATAATCCATGTATAGAAAGAACAGTTTCATTTTGATGTTATCAAGAAGATTGCTACAACTGAATTTCAGGGCTTGCTATGTATGGGAAATTTCAGTACCTGCAGTAATAAGAAAGTACATTCTCCAATGCACACGTCAACAATGTTAAAAGTAAAACCATTTAGCTCACTTCAGTATTATCACAACTCTTAAAATAAGTGGATGTGTTTTCAATTCCATATTCTAAATTTAATTTCAATCTATTTCCTTTCAATTATTTCAAGTATTAGTATTTGTGTAGAAGGAAATATCCTTACTTTTCTTGAGACCAGAGTATTTTACGAAAGCCCTCTAGTTTACTTCAAAAACAATGAACAGATCCTTATTGGTGAGTTTAGTGGGTTTCTTCAAGTAGCATTTATAGCTCTGTACACACTCGGTGCCTATTGTGATGAAATACAGGCATTTGGAGGCTACTTGGCTGGCAGGGAGGCCTTGGCCATGAGAACTGAACGAAGATAATGGAATCTCTTTGAGAATCAAAGCCATGGCTAAGTGAGGTTAACTTATATGAAGTGTTCAACCATACAACTATACCTTATATCTATAATGGGCAGTGGAAAATAGGGAAGTGTTCAGCTTTTTCATTTTTCTTGATTTGCAAGCTTCAATACTCTGTTTAAAACAGCATAATTTTAGCCGGGCACAGTGGCTCCCACCTGCAATCCCAGCACTTTGGGAGGCGGAGGTGGGAGGATCACTTGAGCCCAGGAGTTCAAGACCAGACTGGACAATACTGTGAGACCCTGTCTCTACAAAGAATAAAAAAATTAGCTTCAGCCGGGCATGGGGGCACATGCCTGTAGTCCCAGCTACTTTGGACACTGAGGCAGGAGGACTACTTGAGCCCAGGAGGTCAAGGCTGCATTGAGCCGTGATCACACCACTGCACTCCAGGCAGGGCGACAGAGCAAAACCCTGTCTCTAAAAAAATAAATAAAATATTGTGAAAGTAATTAAGGAAAATTTTTAAAATAGGAAATTTAAAATCTAGTTAGCAGGACAAAACAAAAAGTGAAAAACTTCCATTTCAGTCCAAATGGAGTTAAACACAATCCCACTGACTGACAGATAAAAATTTAGGCAATATGTTTTGAGTCTATACAATGTTAGACAGTTTGACTGGTATGCTGAGTTGAATAATTGCTTTGGCATTTTGTAGACTGAACCCTCATGTACCTATCTAAACTTTGTGATTCTCCAATAAACAAAAGTCCTTTAAACGTTTTAAAAATCTAATTTGTTTTGAAAACTAAAAATAAAACAGGACAGCCGGGCACAGTGGCTCATATCTATGATCCCAGCATGTCAGGAGGCTGAGGTGCAAGGATGGCTTGAGCCTGGGAGTCTGAGACCAGCCTGGGCAATATAGTGAGCCTCATCTCCACCAAAAAAAAAAAAAAAAAACTTAAAAAAAAAATTAGCTGAGTGTGGTGGGGTGCACTGGTGGGAGAATCACTTGAGCCCAGGAGGTGGAGGTTGCAGTGACCTGAGATTACGCCACTGCACTCCAGCCTGGGCAACAAGCAAGTCCTTGTCTCAAAATCAATCAATCAATCAATTAGTAAAAATAAGCAAACATAAGACAGGGAACCACCTGCCATAAAGAGGTGCAAAAAGTAAATCCTCTCAAATTCCCACCATTTTCATGGCTTAAAATTTTAATTGGCATTTCTAAAAGTGGTCACTAACACTGATGAAAATCCACTGGAGCAAGAAAAAAAGTCCAGCAACAAATAAAAAACATAACCTCAAATTTAATTTTTTGTTGCAATGTACCTAGATGAATGTCATTCCAAAACACTGTTCCTAAAAATGATAGATTCTAAAGAAAAAGACATTAGTTGCAGGGTGAGAGGTGAGTGGAATTATTTGAGAATTAAAGAGGTAGAAGTTGCTTTAGGAATTTTTACTGGCTGCAGTGCCAAGATTTCTGTTGTTCAAAGGCCAAGTTTTAAATCTCATTCCGGCATGTTATAACAGGATTCCATTTGTAATTTTCCAG